TGAAAGGGGTCTTGGCTCTGTCACAACAGTTCCATTCCTGAGATCCCCCCGCAAGTCTGACTGGCCCCCAACCCCTACACATGCATGTCACTGTCCCTCCTCCCAGCGTGACACCCCACACCTCCGTACGCCCTGTCCCACTGCTTGCAGAGACCCGTGTACTTCTTGATCCATATCTTATCCAAAAAGATTCCTCAATGCTTTTCTTTTCACAAGGGAAAAAAAAAGGAAAAAAAAAACAATGCCAACAGCCCAGCGCCCGTGAGCAACCCAACAGTAACAAAGCATGTGTTCGGGATGGAGGAAGGTAAGGCCACACATTTCCATTTGCCGCTTGCTGCTAGGGCTGGGCGGCCGGGTTGACTCGAAGGGGGGACGTGTGTGCACCCCTCCTTCACATGCTCCCACACACGCTCATTGTTCTGTCTTGGGGGCTTGACAGACAGCATGGAGCAAAGAGGCCAAGACCAGCCAGACCCTGGTTTGTGCTGAAGAAACCCCCACCTCCCTTCACCACATCACTCATTCACTCATTCCAGAAATGTTTCCTGCACACCCGCTATTTTCCGGGCCCTGTGGTTGGCACTAGGGACATAGAGATAAGGCACAGAACAGGCCCCCGAAGGGCTCGCCACCTGGATGGGGACACGCACGTGAGCAGGTGTGCACAGCATGTTAGGGGGCCTGGGGCAGGAGCCAGTACAGAGTGTGGTGGGGCCTGGCCAGCTGTGCCAGGGCAACAGGATGGCTTCACAGAGCCATGGACACTGTGCTAAGCTTTGGAGGATGGGTAGGCTTTCTGGGGACCCAGGGAGCCTGGAGAGCATCTAAGAACTGCTCGAGTTCTTTACTTTTGTTCCTCAAATTCAGTAACAAGTGACATTAGTGAGGTGAGGTCGGGGGCAGGCCATGGAAGGCCTTTTTAAAGTGCTGAGGATTTTAGAACTTATCCTGGGACTGTTAGGAGTCGAGGGTTTTTAAGCAGAGGGAAAGCAAGATGGGGTTTGTGCCCTAGTCAGACCACTCTGGCTTTGGTGTGGTGGCGGGTTGAGAAGGGCGCCTAGAGGTCAGGAGATCAGTGTTATCCAGGTGGGAAGTGCAGGCCTAGCCAGGCAATGGCAGTGGGAAGAGAGGGGGAGAGGCTGGGGAGACACAGGGGAGATAAATTCAGGAGAGCTTGTTCACCCTGGGACATGGGGTAAGGGAGAAGCCTGCCCACTTCCAGCTTACCCAGGCCTAAGTGGTGAAGGGAAAATATGAGCAAGGCCACTCAGGCTACACCTGGCCCCCGAGAGCAGCCAACTCATTCTGTGCCTGCACGGTCACACGATGGGATGAGGTGCGTCCGCTTGGACTCGTGGGGTGGGGTCACTGAGGCTGCTGGTGGGGTTGCTGTAGGCCTGTGCCAAGGAACAGTGGGGGTGCCGCGCTTGGGCCCGGGATCCGGTCTCCTCAGCTTCCTTGGCAGTGTGGATGTGTCGGCACTTTGCATCGAGAATGTTGGGCCTGTCCCCCAGCTCTGGAAAGGGGCCAACCTTCCCCATCCTAGTGGCCTTTCCTGCTCCTTCATCTGGGGCTTTCTTCCTTGGGCCTGGTGTCCAGGTCCTAAGGAAGCCCCTGCTTTTCTTGCTACTTAACTGCCCGTGCTCCTCTCCTGCCCTCCTGGCCCTGCTGTCAGCGCCCCCTAGTGCCAGGATGGCTGTGCGTGAGGGCGAGGGCTCTGAAATCAGATGGGGGCCTCAGAGATCTCTCACAAACTCCTCTGCTTGCTTGTGGGAAAGAAGGGGATGGAGTGAGCTTTCTTGGAGTTGGAAGCTTCCATATAGAAATCCCAGGGTCTATCCTTTGCTTTCCCTCTCTTGGCACAATGGCCTATACTCCCAAGTTAGGGTGAGACTGAAGAATGGGCTAGGAGGAGGAGGGCCCACACAGTAACCATGTTTTCTGTCCATATCTAGGTAACTCTTACTCATCCCAGGATTGGGCCCAACAGGGAAGCCAGTGTCTCTTGGAGATCAGGGACCGCAGCCTGTGTCCCCTCCTTCCGTGCTCCCATCTGCTGAGAGGGTCTGGTGTCAGGGCACAGCCTTCCAGACATGGCTGGTGTAGCCTGAAGGCCCCTCACATCTGCTCTGAAGGAGGGCAGCACAGACGCCCCCGCTTCACGCTGTGGCTGCTGCCTTTGAGCAGCCTCAGTGCTGCGGGGCAGCCTGCGGCGAGTGGGGGTCAGTGGTTAGTTCCTGGCTGGCTGGTACTGGCCAGCCAAGGAGTAAAGGCCATGACCCATTCCCTAACCAAAGCCAGCTGTGCTACGTGTGTGTGGTGGCAGGGGGCCTGGGAGTGGGGGCGAGCTGGAGGTAAAGGTCTCAAGCCAGGCCTGATAAGTGGAGCATTCGAACACACCTTGCTGTTTCAAATGATTGCCTTGAGGTCCTGAGCTCCTGAGGTGGACACACAAGACCTCTCAGTCCAAGACAGGTGTACCTGGGGGAAGGAGAGGTGGCAGGTCGCCACACCTCTCAGGGTCTGCTTAGGGATGTGTGTGACCACATCTCAGAGCCCACTCTGAGGGACTGAAAGGGGATTGGTGCTGGCCACTTTCAAAAAGCCAAGAAGTAACTTCTCTTTCCTTGCATTGAGCATCCAAGGAAGTCTATTCACAACCCAGCACCCCATACCTGTCTTGGGCCAAGAGATGGTTGGGCAGTGAAGGTGCCCACAGCTAAATGAGATGGGACCAGATGCTGTATCCAAGATGGCAGCATGGCTGTGCCAGGCGGGGCCAGGGGAGAGCTGGAGGAGGGGGTGGGAGCCTCCCTGCCTGCTTCCCAGGTCGACTGAGCATGTACATT